TTTTCAGTTTCAGGCTGAAACGACCGGGGCCTGTAAGCCCTATTTTCTAGGCTTTTAGGCTGAAAGTGCGGGACGGGCCCTGCAGGGCCCGTGTGGCTACGCAGTATGCCACCCTCCCCCCTCCTTGAAAGACCGAGCTTACCTGCGAGGGCGAAGCTGTCTGTCTGAGGGAGGGACCACAGTCCGGGTGGGAGGGGCTGGTCGTGAAGCTTCTTGAGCTAACCGCTGTCTCTCATAATGTGCATAGATCAGCGGTGCGGATGCTTTCAAGTCTGCTCCTGAAATCCACCGAGTGTCGTCGCGATCACAGGCTTTGAATGTAACCTTGTACTGTCGCGGCTTGCTGCCGTACTTGCGATCGGTGATGACATGGTCAACTTCCTGATGACCATCCATAGAAGGAGGGTCCTGCGATCGTCGACCCGGAAAGTCATCGCTCTTAGCTGGTGTGTATGTTGCCAGCTTCGAGGCGTGAAAGACTGGCTGGAGCGGCAGATGTGGTGGAATGTCGATCACAAATGAAGGGCCATCGGGCTCATCGCCCGCGGCTGATGTGACAGACCATGGTCCAAACCACTTGGGAAGAAGTTTGCGTGAGACATCCTGTTCCAATGCAAACTCTTCCGCGGAAACCCAGACTAGGTCATCGGCGCGGATGGGACATGGTACGCGATGCCGGTTAGCTTGCTGCTGCATGCGGACTTGAGCCTTTTGCATGTTCGCGCGGGCTTGAGTCAACAATTCCCTGTACTTCCGGACGGAAGCAGGAGAGCAAGCGGCGTCAATATCGGCTGGTCATGGAAGAAGAAGATCGGCGAAGATGCGGCCTTTCCGTCCACCGTGGTGCAACTCGAATGGAGTCACGCCGATCGTCGGGTGCACCGAAGTGTTGTAGGCGAACTCGATGATCCGGACGGATGAGTGTACGAAGCATCATCTGAGCGGTTTGATGTGCCCGCTCCGTTTGCCCGTCCGTCTGTGGATGCTGAGCCGAACTTGGTTTCATCTTCGTGTCGGACTCCTGCATGAGAGCAGTCCAAAATGCCGATATGAAGCGAGTGTCGCGGTCGCTGACTATGTCTTCCGGTACACCGTGGCCGCAAATCCAGCCGGTGTGCAAGAGGCGTGCCAGCTCGGGAGCCGTGGAGTAGTACTTGCAAGGAAGAAAACGCGCGTACTTACTCAAGCGGTCCACGACCGTGAGGATGTCGTCGTGTCCGAGGCGGTCGCGGGGGAATGGTCCAGTGACATCCATGGCAATGGAGAGACCGGGTTCCTGCGGGATCGACATTGGGCGTAGCTCGCCGTATGGGTTGCGGTTGCGGGGTTTGCTTCGTCGGCAAACTTTGCAAGAGTCGCAATACCTCGTGACATCGGAAATGAGGTCAGGCCACCGGAATCGTTGTCGAAGTCGTGCGTGCGGTTGACTCCGAAATGGCCGGCGAGTCGCGAATCATGGTACTCGTCGAGAAAGCGAGTCCGAAGACGACGGTCGCGTGGGACACATAGTAAGTCCTTGCCCCGTGAGTGGAGGACCAAATACCCGTCGACGATGCGATAGTGGCTGGCCGGCGGGTGATCCGAAGAAAGCTGTGCATATAGCGTGGCAAAATCTGGATCGGACTCATAAGCCCTGATGAAGTGTCGCTGGAGTTCCTCGTCAAATGCGAAGGCATGATGTGTCATAGCGCAAAGATGAGTTCTGCGGGAGAGTGCATCTGCTGCGCGATTGGAGAGGCCGGCGAGATGTTTCGGTGTGAAGTCAAATTGGTCGATGAAGTACATCCATCGTCCGATCGTGCTGCTCACCGTATCCTGCGTCTTGTAGTAAGTCAAAGGGTTGTTGTTCGTAACCCATGTGAATCTACGACGCCCAAGGAGGAAGTGCCGCCATCGCTTGAGAGCCATCACGAACGCGAGCAGCTCCTTTTTCCTTGCATCATCAATCGAATTGATGGGAGGCACTTTGCGGCTGAAATACTCCACAGGGTGCCAATCGTCGCCGTCGTGCTGTTCCAAGACTGCCCCAATGCCGTAGCTGGAAGCGTCAGTAGCCACTCTATGGCAGGGTGGGGTCATAGATGCTAAGGACGGGTGCCATGAGCATGGCCGTTTTGAGTGCTTGGAATGACCGGCGTGCGTCGTCATCGAATACGAATGGCACCTTTGGCGACTGTAACCTCATCATAGGTGCAGCAATCTGTGAGTACCCGGTGATGAATCGCTGATAGTAGCCCGCCAACCCCATGAATGAACGAACGTTCGTGGTGTTGGTGGGCTCGGGCCATACGCGGATGGCCTCGATCTTGTCCGCAAGTGGACGGATGCCTTGCGACGTCACATAGTGTCCCAAGTACTCCAGCTCCTGCCGCGCGAATTCGCATTTGTCGCGGTTGGCTTTGTACTTGGCCTGTCGTAGCCGCTCCAAAACGGTGCGCAGGTGTTCCAAACTCCGGCTGTACACCAGAATGTCGTCGAGGCAGATAAGTACAAATCGATCCAGCATGTGTCGGAACTCCATTGTCATAGCCGCTTGGAAAGTGGCTGGGGCCTTCGTAAGGTCGAACGGCATAACCAGCCATTCAAAATGCCCATATCGCGTCTTAAACGCGGTCTTGTAGCGGTCCTCTTGCAGGATCTCGAGTTGGTGATAACCTGACTTGAGGTCGAGCTTGGAGAAGAACTTGGCGCCGCCCAATCTTTCGAGAAGATCGTCGATGCGTGGGAGAGGGCCGACGTTCTTGACCGTTTGTGCGTTGAGCTTACGATAATCGATGCACAACCGCAGATCCTTGTTCTTCTTCCAGACGAAGAGAACAGGAGCACCGTATGGCGATGAGCTAGGCCGAATCCAGCCTTTCGCCAGAAGATCGTCGAGTTGTGCCCTTAGCACACTTAACTCTTCCTCGCTCATTCGGTAGATGCAACCGCGTGGAGGTACGGCCCCGTCCTCGAGGATGATCTCGTGGCGGATGGGCCGATCCGGTACTACTCCGTGCGGGCTCTCAAACACGTCGCCGTAGGCGTCGAGAAGCTCGGTGATGCGTGGGTATGAAGATGAGTCCGTCGATGAAGCGTCATGGGGCGGGAGGGCGTGGAGAAAACACACCCCCATCTCCTCAATGTCGTCTCTGATGATGGAAGCTCGCATGCTTGCGGCGGACACCACGTGGCAGCTGATCGAAGGGTGAGGAGTAGGCACCGTGCATGGGACTAGTACTCCGTTCCGATCACGAACGTGAGCGGTGCGGCGGTAGAAGTTCACCGGGTGATCCTCGCTTCGCAGCCATGACATGCCCAAGATCATGTCGAATTTGGTGTTCAGAATATCAAAGGACACCGCCTCACTGGCGTGAGGGGCAAAGTACACGGGGACATCATCAATGCACCGGTCGATCGACTTGTGTGTGTGACCGTCGGCCAACGTGACTTGCGTGGGTTGGGACTTCCTTCGGACGCGTGGGCCCAGGCCGGCGCGCACCATGAAGTCGTGACTCATGTAGTTGCGAGATGCTCCGCAATCAAAGCGCTGCAGGTCGCCTCTCCGATCTGAATGCGTACATACAACAATGGTGCGTCGATGTCGTCGTACCGTTGTGTCCTGAACTCGCGGTCGATCTTCGCAATGTAGGCGTGAAGGTCGACAACCTCTACTCCGACGTCCATCAACGGAGCTGGTACTGCAGTGTGCAAGTAATCCCGCAATTGTGCCATTAGCACGTTGCAATGCGGTTTCGGCAATCGACCGGTCGGGGGAACGGGCATCCACTAGAAGTCCGTGAACGTCAACGGGTCGAGCACCTCAAGTCTTGACCATGACGTTGAATCCCTGTCGGTAGATGGTGGCGATGCTGCCGAATCGGTTGCCGATGGTGATGAAACCGTGCATGCGGTAGATTGTTGCACGTGGAGCGGTTGGTCCAACGGTGGGACCAAGTGGACAGCATAGTCCTCGTAAGAATACCGAGAACTTGCGACATTCGCATCCTCCCCAGAGGTGGAGTCGCCTCACCTCCTGCGCAACTCAGTTTCCCGAGTTGATGCGAGGCCGCACATCCTCCTTGCCTTGATCCTGGCAGAGGGAGGTGTTGTGCTTGGTGCTGTTGCACTAGTAGCAGCAACCGTAGCGGCCGTGGTACTTGTACTCGGCCTCGGTCAAGTGAAACTTGACCCATGGTGCAGGCTGTCCAGTTCCAGCCGGAGATGCGGTCTTCGCCTTCCCATTGTTGCAGGATTTGTTGTTGTTTCTCGACTGGACAGCAGCCACCTGATTTCCCTCACGTGATGCTGGAGTGGCTGCCGGGTCTTCCACACTGTTGTCCGGTTGGACTGCAGCAACATGCTGCTGACGCGGACCAGTTCTCACTTTCTCCACATTGGTTGGCTGCCATGCTGATTTCTCGTGTGCAGCTGCCCTGTTTGTCTTGATGATCTCCCTTGCCATGATCTCAGCGAAGGTTGCATATTGCTCGCGATCACCAAGTGCGAGGCTCAATGCAGCACATGACCTGTTATAGAACTCGCGGCGCAAATGCGGAAATGGTAAGTCCAGATCGGGTGTTGCCGCGATCTTCTGCCATTCCGTGAGCCAGTCACGTGTTGCTGTGTTGCCTTGCGTCATGGCGAAGTGACGGTTGATGGCGAGTGCAGGTGCGTCGTCCACGATGAACCGCTTCTTCCATAGCCGTGTTAACTCTTCCCATGAGAGCTTGTCTTTCAGATCTGCGACGTCAACGCCGTGGGTGGATGCCAGGTGGCTTAACCAGATCTGGCATCCACCCTTTGAGTTAAGAAATAGGGCGCCGACATACGCGTGCTTGGGGACCAGAAGTATCCGAAGTTGCGTTGTGAAACCTTCCCACCAGAGGACCGGGTCCTGATGCGTGTAGTCATTGAACTTCTCAATTTGAAAAGTTGGCATCTTGTAATGTTGTGTGCTGTTGCCATTCTTGTGAGGCAGCTGCAATTGCTGGACCTCGGTCTTCAAAGTATCCAGCTGATTGCTGATGGTGGTTGGCGCAGCGAAGGTGCTGAGGTTGCCGAGCATTGCGACGACGTGGTCGACGCGTTCCTCCAGTTGGTGGTTAGAGGGTGCGCTGCTGGACTCGCCAGTGTCTGGTCTTGGTGCAGGTTGCTCCAAGTCCTGTACACGGGAATCAAGTGCCCGTGCTGCATCCTCGTGTTGAGCCTTGTTGTTCCGCACGGCCCGCTGGAGATTCGCCAGCTCAGACTGCAGGTGGTTACATGTGTAAACCAACTTGGTCACGAGTTTGGCCAACAATTCCTTGTGTTGTTCCTCCGGTGTCGCGCCGTCGCCGTTAGGTTGGAAATGCCAGAACTTGAGCCTGTCAATGGTGGCAGCCTCATGCCGCTGCAGCAGTTCCTGGGCTTCCTTGCGGCGAGCCTGGGTATCTGCATCCGCTTCGGCTTGAAGTCGCTGCCTCTCAGCTGCAGCTGCCGCTTCAGCCTGGAGGTGGGCAGCCTCGGCTGCTGCCTGCCGCTGTTCCTCAGCCTCAATGAGGGCGAGCTGAGCCTGGACACGCTGTCGGTAATCGGCAATCGACTCATTGGCCAGTTGGCCTGGCAAGCCGAGGACCGGTACCGCCATGATGGCGGGGCCCTGCTGAGATGGAACTGCTCACTGGCTGACGTGGCACTGATGTTGACGTGGCACAGATGCTGACGTGGCACAAATGCTGACGTGGCACAGATGCTGACATGGCACAGATGCTGACGTGGCACAGATGCTGACATGGTACTGCTGACATGGCACTGATGACATGGCACAGATGCTGATGTGGCACTGCTGACGTGGCACAGATGCTGACGTGGCACTGCTGACATGGCACAGATGAACTGGAAATGCAACAAGGGGTTGGGTGGGAGGGAAAACGGAGGTAGGGAAACCAACCAAACAAGACCTTCCCCCGGCCCTAATCAACAGATAACAAATAAATAAAAAAATAAAAGAGGACTACTGCCTTTTTTTTTTTTTTTTTTTTTGTATATCTGTCGATGCGGTATGTCAGAAGAGTAGTATGAGCGCGATCTAGGCCAAGTTTGCAAAGTTTCAGTTTCCCAAAATGTGATCTTGGAAAAAAAAAATTGCGAAACAGAGTAAAGATGCGATTTTCAGAAAAGGACTAAGTCCTGCTTCTACGAAAATGACAATTTCCTAAATGCCTAGAAGACGGAATACTAACAGCAGTAGATATATATTCGAATATCAGAAATTTCGGATTTTAATATCAGAGAAACGAAATGCGATTTTCAGAAATTTTCAGATATTGTTGCGTCAAAACGAAATGCTAATATCAGAAATTTCAGATAAACGAAATGCGAGTATCACGAAGTTTCAGATATTTGTTGCGTAAAAACGAAATGCCCATATCAGAAATTTTCAGAATGCTATCGTCACTAACTTCAGATATTTGTTACGTAAAAACGAAATGCAAATATCCGAGATTTTCAGAATGGTATTATCACGAAGTTTCAGATACTTGAAAAAAACGAACTACCAATATCAGAAATTTTCAGATCAAACGAACTGTTATTATCACGAATTTCAGATATTGCTGTAAAAGAAGAAAGAAAAAAAAAAATTCAGAGATTTGACGAAGTCCTACTTGATCAAGCTATCCATCGTTCAATAACTTCAAGTAGGTTCATTGACTGAGCGGATCCTCTGATGGAGAGGTCCGCTCCGATACCAAACTGTTGCATACCGTAAAGGTGCAAGACAGAACAAGAACCGACCTCTCATACAAAGTATAAGATAGAGTAGCGGAAGACTGAGATACCAATGATCCGAACAATTAATGTTGCAATGCAGTCTCAACATACATCATCATCGTACAATGGTGTGAGGGGTCTGGCGCTCACACAGAAGAATGCGCCAGGCCCATGCATACACAGACGAGGAGGAGGGAGAGACAGACGAAGAAGAAGAAGATGGGAGATGTCGTCAACACC